ATTATATTTGAATGATACCTGATTTGGTATTTCATTTAAAGTTCTGGAAATGGGCTGGGTGCAGTGGCCCGTGCCTGTAATCCCAGCACTTTGGGAGGCCAAGGCAGGCAGGTCACCTGAGGTCAGGAGTTCAAGACCAGACTGGCCAACATGGTGAAACCCCATCTCTACTAACAATACAAAATTAGCTTGGCATAATGGTGCACACCTGTAATCCCAGCTATTCGGGAGGCTAAAGCAGAAGAATCATTTGAACCCAGGAGGCAGAAGTTGCAGTGAGCTGAGACCACACCATTGTACTCCAGCATGGGTGACAGGAGTGAAACTCTGTCTCTAAATAAATAAATAAATAAAGTTAGTCCTGGAAATGGATCCTTTTGCTATTCAATCACCCTTCTACATGTGAAAGTAAATATCACTATGAATGTAAACATAGTTAAATATGAAATCAATTTCAGCTTATTGGACTTTTATTGTGAGCTAATACAGCTTTAAAATAAAACAGATTACCAAGTTATTAAGAGATGAACTCTGGTTTCAATTATATTTGTCATTTAACACATCTGTGAGAAGGGGAGGACCATCATGTTTAAACCAGTGAGTGCCATAGTTGTCTCTTACAGCTGGTAAGGACAATGAACTTTTAAGTGACCTTACTAGGAAGGCTGAGTCCATAAGTGAATGGTCAGGAATCTTAACCTTTACAGAGGGAATGTTTTATAGTTGCTATTGGCAGTAACAGTGTAAAATTGCTGAGAATCAAAATATTGCTAGCCACAATGCCATTCCTTCTGACATGAACATGCTTACCCTACACATACCCCTGGAGAAATAATATAAATTTAAAACCTGAAATTACTCCTGCTTTCCTATTTCCACCCCTCTATTTTCATAGACAACCACCTCTTCTTTTGACCCCTACTATCTTTCTTTCCAGTGGGAAAGTGGCTGCTTTATGTGAGTCAATATACAGCAATTTCAGCCAACCTAATAAGAAACAATTCTGTTCCCTTTCTTATTAAACAGCTTATTCACATGGGCAAGGCCTAGAATGTCTAGTGTTACCAGCTTCCCCAGCGAATGACTATTACACTTGCTGCCAGGGAGCCCCTCTGCCTCCCTCTGACCTGAGCAGATCCTGGGCAATTCATAGTGACTCAGTTTAGGTTATCAGTTTTCTCCTTCTGGTGACTTCCTGATCCTGGGTTATTCTACTTAAGGTCGTTAGGACAGACTGCAATCATTAAATTTATCTCTGGGAATCTTATTAACTCTTAATTTTTCTACTGTCCAGATTCGCCTCGTCACTTCTGGTGGTATCATTTAATCTGCTGGCTGCTGAGTGCCGCCGGGATCATCTGTATTCTTGTAGCACATGAACACTACACTATCGATGTGATCATTGCTTATTATATCACAACACGGCTGTTTTGGTGGTACCATTCAATGGCCAATGAAAAGGTGAGAGCAGTGAAGATGCTTGGATAATTTCTTTTCTTTTAATGCAGTGGATCCATTTTATGTTGTGGAGTTTTAGATAGCTTAATGGGGATAACTGATGTTGCCACTCAAATGTGTGGCTTCGGTCCATTCACTTAAACATATATCCATTACTGTTTTTTAAAATAAAGCAAAGAACTTCACAAATGTAAATGCCATTTATGGATTAAAATGCCATAAGGTTATAGAGCACAGTGTGTTACTAATTGAGGTCATTTATACTAGAATTGAAGAAATATATGTACTAAATTAAAATTTAGGAAACTTCTCTGTAAAAGCATTGTAGTGCAGCTGAATAAGACATAATTCCTGCCTTCAACTTAAATTCATTTTAAGGAGAAGGAGAAGGTAAAAGGTTTTTTTTTTTTTTTTTTTTTTTGAGACAGAGTCTCGCTCTATTGCCCAGGCTAGAGTACAGTGGCACAATCTTGGCTCACTGTAACCTCCATCTCCCAGGTTCAAGTGATTCTTGTGCTTCAGTCTCCCAAATAGCTGGGATTACAGGTGCACGGCACCATGTCTGGCTAATTTTTATTTTGTATTTTTAGTAGAGACAGGGTTTCACCATTTTGGCCAGGCTGGTCTTGAACTCCTGACCTCAAGTGATCCTCCAGCCTTGGCCTCCCAAAGTGCTAGGATTACAGGCAGGAGCCACTGCACCCAGCCGGTAACAGCTATTTTTTTTAAATGACACAAAATAAATAGCTTATGAATTACTGGATTTGGTATATCCTCTGGTGATAGTGGTGCTCTCTGGCTTCCCTTCCAATTCTTCCTTATTTGCTTCTGCTGCTTCCTTGTTTCCAGATACGCTCTTCTTTCTTCTCCCATTCATACTTAAAGAGCTAGTTTAAATGCCACCTCTTCTGGGAAGCCTTCTCTAACTCTTGCTGTCTTCCTTGGTCCCAAGGCAGAATTATTCCTCCCCATCTCTGTTTTCTCCTACTCTTGGTCTATGTACCATGACTTACTTATCTTTGAATAGACTTGCCATATTGTTAATTTGGAGAATTTGTGAGCAACTGAAATATGGCTTTTCCAAATCTACATCCAACTCTTGGTGTCCACTAATAAATGCTCTTTCTCTGGATTACTTTATTTCTCTTTGCAGCTCTGTTTCCTTTTTATAGTCTCCTATTTCCATCTTCCTCCTTACGCTTCCATCTAGATGACGACTGACACCACTGAACCAAAATTTTTATCTTTCCTCTTAAATGTATTCAACCTTCTGAGCTTTTCTTTCACTCCTTGACTTGCTTGGCCCCTAGATTTGATCACTCACACATCCTGAAAATTACTCCGCCAGAATAATTTTGACATCCATTCCCTCAGTCTCCATTCTTACCGAAATTGCAGGCAGCAAAAATTGCACGAGCCACAAAGGAAGGAAAGACATCTAGGTGTGTTAGGGGACCAGAGTCACGGTAGAGTTAGGGAAAGGACATGAAAATCATTACTGCCATGTGATCTGAATTCTGGTTTTCCCTAGGATACAGTGAATGACAACTTAAGAAAATAATTACGCTGCAAATCAAGAAAGATATGACTCATTTTACTTTTTTGTCTACCATTTGCAGAACTTGAAGGTCTCTTCACAGACTAATTTCTTATCTCGAGCATGGTGGTTCCCCATCTTTTATTTTTTTGAGAAAAATGTCCAAGGCTCAATTCCTTGCTGCTTCTCCTGGCCGCTGTCTTGGCCTCCTGGCTGCTTCAAATCATCATGCAAAAAGTATTCACGGGTTCAGAAGATTGGTGAAGACAATGAGAAATCTACCTGAGGAGCAAAACAAAGGCATCAGCTCTTACACCAAAAGAGTTAACGCTGTAACCAAAGGTATAGTTTTGTTTTTTATTTTAGGAGAACTGACTGGTAAATGAAGAAACGGACCAAATTTTGTGTAAATGATTAGAAAAATGAACAAAGTATTACCCTCTGACTGGTTTTCTTCTTCATCCTGAGAAAGATACATTCTCTTGCAGCTCTTCATTCATTGGTGACAAGCCCCCACCCTGGGACTTTACTAATGAGCTTGTTAAAGAGGTGCCAAAGAACATATTCCTCTTTTCTTTCTTCTTTGTCCACTGAGACCCTCTGCTTCAGAATTTTTTCAGGATATTTTTCCTCTCAAGATCAGAAGAATGTGTTAATATTTTAAATAAAATATCTGGACATCTACAGCCACTGTGTAAATAGAACAACCTAATGTCGAGAGTGGTTTTTAGCATTAGGTTTAGCAAGGGGGAGATCGGTGGGTTGTGCGTCAGCTTTGGGTGAATTTTGTTTCTACCCTGTCATGGGGAAAGTTAGGATTGAGTCGGGAGTGCACACTGCTGCTGCCACCCAGTGTGCAGCACTTTAAACTTTTTGTTTTCTTTTGTTTTTAACAGATCATTTTATCTTAAAAAGGAAGGATGATCCAAGTAAACATGAAAGTATTTGACACACCCCACAGATTTTACGTGTGTGTAAATGTTTCACTTTAAAATCTCTGTGACAGATACACAGGAAACATGAGGTTGTTTCTGCTAATGACTGGCCGTTGAGTACACACATAGATGCCATCTGCCTCATAAATTTGTATCTGGTACCCCAGGGCAGTCAGCTCTTCTAGCACAGCTGAAAATGTGTGTGTCAACTCAGGCTTATGCCACGTGGGAAATCAGGCTGTTTCCCTTCCAGGTCAGGCCCTGGTGTGAGATCAATTTTAGGGCTCCTAATTGGAGTGCAGAAATATATTTGGTCATGATTTCGTCCTTCTTATGGTTGTGGTTTATGGAAAAACAAGATGGAGCCTGAAAGTTAATGTGTCCTTGCTTTTAGCAAGAGACTCAGCTTCTCATAAACTAGTGCTAGGGACATATGCCACAATTGAGTAATTTTACTTTTACCCTGTGAAAATGATAACATGGTGCTGCACTATAACATACCCTCAGAATCAGTGTGTGAGTGACGGCTACACAGTAAAGGGGGATAACTGTTTCTAAATTTCTTTAAGGTGATGCCAAAAAATAGATTTTAAAACATTGATCGGATTTATGTTATCAGATTTAGTGCATTATTTAATGCTATTGGATCTTTTGAACAATTCCTGGCTTCATTTCTTAACTACTGGAAGCTCAATTTGCAAGACTTCTAGAAACCTTGGAAAGTTTTAAGGTTACAAAATTATTAACACTAGGGCAGAGGGTAGAGAGGCCAATGTGGGCAGAAGAAGGCAGTATGTTTATATTGAAGGTGAAATTTTTCTTTCATTTAAAATGGAAAACATCCCCAAATTTATCATTATAAACTAGTCAGCCTTTATTACACAAAATTGACCTTTAAATTACTTGAGAAAAGCACAATACCAATCGTTCAGAAGGGTCAACATCCTTCGGTGCTAAAATCCTGTGTATGTTTTCAGAATGGCTTTTTCTGTGTGTCATAGAGTAGTCACTAAAGAAAACATAGTTGAATTTAAAGTCATGAAGCAAGACTCTTTAATTCTGTTACTTTAAACAAGAATTAAAACCCCAAACATCGTTGGCAGGTTTTGAAGCACAAGGAATTTTCTGGTATTTCTTATTAAATACACCAATAATTAACACATATGTAGTTTACCTGATGAGTTTAGACATAATTCTATATAATGTTCACTTATGTTCATTTATTAAATAGCAACACTTGTGCGAGAACAAGGTGTTCTGCTTGAAAACACTGTTTTTTAAGTTCCTGTTACTCGATAATGAGGAAAATCATCTGACACAGAAGCCTGGGTTTTGCTCTCTGAACACTGGTATTTTCATTGAGCCTCTAATTCAAATAAAACAACCTGATACATCTTAGAGCCTTATTCAGCTGTGTCTGGATAACCCACTTTTCTTCTATTGAATAAGGAAAAGTGTTTAAACCTAATTTTAAAAAACCATTGTGTACCAATTACTACACACCCTTGAAACAGTAAGCCTTGTATTTTAGTCAAGTAATCCAGTTTTTTAATTTAAAAAATCACCTTTTTTTTTTTTTTTTTTTGAGACGGAGTTTCGCTCTTGTTACCCAGGCTGGAGTGCAATAGCGCGATCTTGGCTCACCGCAACCTCCACCTCCTGGGTTCAGGCACTTCTCCTGCCTCAGCCTCCCGAGTAGCCGGGACTACAGGCATGCGCCACCATGCCCAGCTAGTTTTTTGTATTTTTAGTAGAGATGGGGTTTCACCATGTTGACCAGGATGGTCTCGATCTCTTGACCTCGTGATCCACCTGCCTCGGCCTCCCAAAGTGCTGGGATTACAGGCGTAAGCCACTGCGCCCGGCCAAAAATCACCTTTTAAAGAACTTTAAAGACATGATGCCAGCATGGACAATGCTGCTGCCATGTCATTGAAATCCATGGTTTGAAAATAACGGTGAGGGAGTCAATATTTCAAGATGGGGAATAATAAAACAAATAGTGAAACCCATTTACATGCAGGAAAGCAAACTTGAGCTTCAACCCAATGTGCCACTTTGGGATATGAAACAAGTATGATCTTGCCTTTGAAATGGTAAATGTTTGGAGCACCTGTTCTTTGCGAATTAAGATACATATTATCCTTGTTTTTTCTAAGTCTGTGCTCCTGTTTGAAGCTTTTCCTGTAATTTAGGTTGTCTGAGAAATGCCTATAATTCCTATAGAGTATACCACATTTTTTTGTAAATGCTTTCAAATGAAGTTCCTTCAGATTCTACTTTTGCACTCCTCCACTAGATCTGAAAATAAAGCATCCTTCCCTGAGTCCACTTGAACTAATAGTGAATTTAATTTACTGAACTTAATTTACTGGCATCTTGAGAAACAAGTTTGGCTGTGGAAGGAAGGCTGTTTTGAGAGTGAGCATCGAGTCTACTCTGGTTTGTGGGTGACACTGCATTCGGGTTCTTTGCTGTATTACCAGTGACCCCTTGTGGCAATACACTCTATGACTTGGAACATAAACACCACTTTTAAAATGTATTTTCAAGTTTTTAAAAGGCATTTGATTTTTGTTATGTTTGCCAATAATCTGAAAATTTCATGTGAAATGAATTATTTTAAAAGCATTTTAAACCTTTTCCAAAGGTAAAATGTGCTCAGATTATCTAAGGAATTGTAATTCTAAGCTTTTATCCATTTGATCAAAGAAAATTTGTAGAACATTTTTACCTCTCATGATCACAATCATTACTGTCTCCCTTTATAACTACCTATATTTTGTTTACTTTGAAACACAAAATTTGTTGTCTTGGTTTTTTTTTTTTTTTAACATGATAGAACTCATGCAGTTTCTTTTTTTCATTGAAAGTTCACGTCTTGCCCCTCAAATAGTTTGACCATTTCTTTCTTAATTCTTTTTTGTTTTTGTTTTGCACTGTAAACTGATTAAAACTTTAAGCCAGTCTTAACACACTAGCCTCTGTAGTCTAAGGAATTGTAAGAAGGAATCTCTTAATAAATGAGTTTACATGTTTAAATCAAGCATATTATAAGTTATATGCCATGTGTTGAAGGCTTTTCTATTTATATATGTAAAGATTTTTGGTATTTTTGTTTTAAGTGTCCTTGTGTTGCAATAACTTAACTCCTTTAACTCAGTTGCTAAAAATATTTCTTCTATTAAGAAGTGCTCTTGACTTCAACACCCAAACACTGAAAATCATGTCAATGGTACCCAAAGATAAGTTTTTATACAGATATTCACCTTATAAGTTCTGATATATTTTATTACTCATTAATATATGCTGTGTTCTAAATAAATCATGAATGAGAAGAGTGCTTTATTGTGGAATTATTTAAAACTGTCCTTTAAAAGAAAAAGAGGAAACTATGAATATAAACTAATCTAGTTGCCAAGTTGGAATTCATTATTTAATTTACTTCCTATGCAATGATTAATGCTGCAAAATGTATGGTTATGTTACCGTATATTCACAAAAGAAATACTACAAGATATGAGAGGTAGCCAATTGTGTTCTTTTGGAAATTTACTGTACTGTTTCCACGTGTTAAGTGCCTTGTTGTAAAGTAAAATTTTAAGTCTAGAATTCATTATTTTCCTGACATATATTTTTCATTATGATATCTACTGTATGCTATTGTGATAGTTTTATGAAATGCTTACATTTAAATCAAATATGTAAATTTCAGAAGCTCTTTTCTCCTACCCACCAGTACCTTAATCATTGGTTTATCATATTGTATTTGAATTCAGGTTCCTTTTCTGATAAAGAGGAAATTTGTTTTTCATGCTTGTGATTTTGTGTTTGTAAACATTTCAGGAGGAATTTAGGAGTGTAAATATAGTTTATACTTCTAAAATGTTATCTTACATTTACATTTTTAAGTGCCTAATTGTTAAAACTGAGTTATGTTTCTCTTCTAAAGAGGATATGTGTACTTGGTTTCTAATCTCTTTGGTTTTGCTTTTTAAAAAATGCAAAAGCCTATACTTTGTATTTACCTAATAAACCACAGTGACATCAACAGTCTTTTCAAAATTGGTATTACTGTTTCTTTCCATTTACAAAATGTATCATTTTTAAAAGAGGTCTAGTTTTAGAGTACTTGTTAAAGTTGCAGAAGGGATATTTAAGCAGTATTTTGAAAATAATAACCTTCAATTAATGGATTTAAGGTGAAAATAATTCAGAACGATACAAGGTCATTCATGGAGAAGAAAATAATCACGATGTTGATTTTCATTGTTTACAGTAGGACAAAGTCACTCATGAAAAGCAGACTCCTTTCTGTCACTCAGTCTCCTCATGCCTTCACAAGACAGAAGCCTAGGGTAATGTCCTCAACTGGAGTTTACTAGACATTGCAACAGCAGGATGCAGTAAGTGGTTTTGGACCTGCTGATGACAAATGCCCCTCCCCCAAGATAAATTTTGTAAAAGCAATTCAGTGGGGTGAATAGGATAAGATAATAAGGTTCAAAGAGTAAGTTACAGGAGATAGTCCACGCTTTATCCTCGGATTATCTAGAAATGAGACAGCATAGATCAGAATAGTTTTTCTGCCACTCCATTCAGACCTTGGATGAAAAGCTCATCACAGTGATGTTCTCATCATGCCAGGAAACACTGGCATGCTGATTTTGCTGGCCATATGGCTTCAAAGGCTGCCCTTATCTAGAACACATGGTGCAAGAAACTAACATGAACTCTTGTTTATTATGCAAGGGACTAACAGGAACTTTTACTAATGGGCTAATTCATTCTGGGTTCCATTAGCTTTCTTCATAGAAAAGCTCTTGAGTGCGCCTCCTATGACAGGATAAAACTCTCTGGGCATTTAAAGTGCTGTGGATAGTGAAGTCTTTTAAAGTAGTAACTGTCTCTTACCCCAATAAGGAATCAAGAGGAACTTTACAACTGCAGTTAAAGTGGCATTTTCAATCACACTAATCATGGGCAAATTTCTTAAGTAATAAAACCACTTAAAAAGAATGGTGATTATTCATGCTTGGTTTGAGACCTCTACCTCACAGCTGTTGATTTTAGAATTTGAGTGTAGTGGTGTGTCCAGGTTTTGCCACCAGGATTAGATGCTAGTTTCACTATAAAGTGAATTTAAATCTGCTGACTTCAACCCCCCATCCCATCCCCACCACATTTAAAGATAGAAAAGTGTCATCTACATGCCTATTTAACCAGGGACTCAGCTTCAAGTCTGTAAGGTTTGTTGACTGTAGGTCATTTACAGCCTTGGCCCCGGGTAAAGCCTTTAGTCTCTCCAGATGATCATGCTATTAAGTGGTGGCCACAAGTTTTGATAATATTCATCTTCTCTGATATTTTGAATCTCCTGAGCCATAGGAAGGCAGGAAACTAGATTTTGTTCAAGCATTTAGTGTTTGTGTGCCATGCACTAGAGCTGCTGATATATAAAATTCCTGACATCAAAGTGTGAATGTCTTGCCCATAACTCCTAAGTCACATCATAAGAAATTCAATTGTATAAAATATATGCAAGTCTTATAAAATGTTTGTAAGTTTTAGGAAATATTGGTCAGGGCCTTCATAGCCAGCTAGATATTCCAGAAGTAGAAGTGAATTACTTTTCTGAATGTATTGTCACTGAATGTTACCATTCTTTTCTATTTAATATTTTAGCAAAATCACAAAATAGACATCAAATTTTATCTCATCCAAAGGTTGAAGTGGTAATGTGTGTCATGGGCCCTAAGCATCCATCTAGCACATTTTTTTGCTGGGCATGCTGAGTGCAAGGCCCAAACTCCTGTTACCCAGGCCATTTCTCAGGATTGTGTTTGCAGTAAGCAATGTTAAGAAATCAGGTAGCATATCACCCTGAATAAAGAGGAGTTTTTTCCTGTTTACTGTAAAGCAGTAAAAACACCAAGCTTGGTGGTCCTCAGTTGAGGTGCCAACCCACTGAATATGTAGTATCTGTCTTGTCTTGACCTCTCCAAGTCATCCCCTTGGGATTTGAGAGACAAGGGAACCAAAGGGACCATGCTGACACTTTGGCTACTGCTGTGCTATAAGTAGTGAAGTCCTTTGTCTCTGACTCTGGAGTCTTGTGTCTTCTACCAGCATCCAATGAAAGACCATCCATGTGGGCTTGTAAGTAGAGTCATAGATGCTTCACAAACTGACATGTAAATTTTATTTTCTTCTAATATATAAGAATATCAGAAGTGTATCACCGTATTACTAATATGTTAGCATAGTAATGAATTATGTACTATGCATGTGTATATAGATATATATAATGCACATTTAATTCATATGTGGCACCTGTAATCAAACATAACATTTTACAGTTAACACTTGACATTCTTTAATCTTCACAAAACCCTATGAAGTAATAAGCAAGGCAAGAGAAGGTGACCCCATTTTATGAGATGAAAGGGTTCATAAATGTTAGAGCTGGAAGTTGAGTTTTGTTATCGTGGGCTATTGTTTGCTGCCTCCCTGTCATAATCACTGTGGTCACCATCAGTTTTGTTAGGGTTTTGTTATTTTTAAAATAAAGGTCATGGTCTTTATTCTCTTAACAGGAAATTAGTTTCAGAAGCAAACTGTCCTTAGAGCAGGTTCTTTGTCACATGCTACAGATTTTTCTTAAAATTGCTATTTACTAAATTTCAAAGGGGAGAAAAGTTGGCTTCTAGTACAAAATGACCTTGAAGGCAAAAGAATCCTCACGTGTCTGAGTCCACAAGTTTGTTAGAATAAAGCAAACCCACTGTTAATGAGTTTTAATGTCTTATGTCTAAGATTATGTTTCTAAAGCCCCCGCTCTGCCAGCCTTTCCCACATTGTGTACACTAATCAGATACTTGAATTGTTTTGTCATAATCTCTACAGAAACTTCCAGAAAAGTGCATGATGAACTGCTAGTGTGGAAATGTCTTTTTTCTAATAAAAAGAGAACATTTCACTCTATGATGCCCTTGACTATGGGATTAAGAGTGATCCTGTTATCCCAGTCCCAAGTATTAGGTTGGTGTAAAAGTAATTTCGGTTTTTGTCATTGCTTTAAATTTCAAAAACTGCAGTTACTTTTGCACCAACCTAATAACTATAGCTGATCAATCACAGTGGCACAATATGTTTAGTACCATCCTGTACTACCAACAAAGTTACTAGTGAAAAGTATTTCACCAATAACTAGTGAGGTGATTTTTTAATAACCTGCTTCTATGTGGGAGAGAATATCAGAGTTTGGGCAGTTCTCAGAGCATTTTGAGATTAAATTATATCAGAGTTCAGTTCAAAAACAAAAATAATTGTTCAATGTTGTTTTGCTGTATAGCAGTCTTTCCAAAAGAAGTGGTGACAAGTCTTCTCTTGGAGCTACTTAAAATGAAATTGCCTAAACTGAAAAAAATCACAAATATGTGGAAATTAACCAGCACACTTAACAGTGGAACAAAGAAGAAATTGCAAGGTAAATTTGAAAATACTTTGAGACAAATAACAAAAATACAGCATACCAAAAAACTATGGGATGCAGCAAAAACAGCACTGAATGAAATGTATAGCTGTAAATGCATAAGTTTTAGAAAAGAAGAAATCAATAATGTAACTTTAGATCTTAAGGGACTTGAAAAAGAAGACCAAATAAAATCCAAAGTTAGCAGGAGGAAGGAAATAATAAAGACTAGAGCAGAGATAAATAGAGAATAGAAAAACAACAGAGAAATCGATGAAATGAAAAGTTGGTTCTTTGTAAAGAGCAACGGAACTGACAAACCTTTAGCTAGATTGCCTAAGAGGAAAAGGCGGCTCAAATTACTAAAATCAGAAATGAAAATGGAGATATTACTACTGATTATACAGAAATAGGACTATAAGATTACAATGAACAAATGTACACAAAACCTGCAGGTACTGAATCATGAAGCAATAGAAAACCTAAATAGACCTCTAATTAGCAAGGAGGTAGAATGAGTAATCAGAAACTTTTCAACAAACAAAAAGCCTGAAACTTGACTTTGTTGGTGAATTCTACTAAACATTTAAGGAAAAAGTAGCCAGACATGGTTGGGACCTGTAATCCCAACTCTTTGGGAGGCTAAGGTGGATGGATCACTTGAGCCCTGGAGTTTGAAACTAGCCTGGGCAACATAACAAAACCCCATCTCTACCAAAAAAAAAAAAGCTGGGCATGGTGACACGTGCCTGTGGTTCCAGCTGCTTAGGCACAAAGTAGGAGGACTGTTTGAGCCTGGGAAGTTAAGGCTGCAGTGAGCTGTGATCACACCACTGCACTCCCACCTGGGCAACAGAGCAAGATCATCTCTCAAAAAGAGAGAAATAATTAACACTCGTCCTCAAACTTTTCCAGAAAGAAGAACACTTCCTAATTCAGTCTATGAAGCCAGAATTATCACCACTACCAAGGCCAGAAGAAAACATTACCAAAAAAAAAAAAAAAATCAGACTAATATCCCTTATAAACATTGGCATGAAATCTTCAACAAACTACTAGCCAACTGAATTCAGCAGCATATCAAAAGGGATATATAACAAGACCAAATGAGATTTATTCCTGAAATGTAAGGATGGTTTAACATGAAAGTCAACATAATACATTATATTAACTGAATGTTGGGTAAAAAGGACATGATCATTTCAATTGATGCAGAAAAAGCATTTTACAAAATTCAACATTCTTTCATGATTAAACAAACTGGGAATAAAAGGAAGTTACCTCAACATCAGGATGTTATAAAAAGCCAGCTAATGTCATGCTCAATGGTGACTGAAAGCTTTTCCTCTAAAAGGGAAATGTGAATATCAGGCACAAGTGAAGAATGCCCAGTTCTCCACTTCCATTCAACATAGTATTGGAAGTTCTTGCCAAAGCAATTAAGCAAGAAAAAGAAATAAGAGGCATTGAAATTAGAAACAAGAAGAAAAATTATCCAATTATGACATGATCTTATATGTAGAAAAATAAAATTTCAACAGAAAATCTTGTTTAGATTTCAAATCATGTCTGAATGAAAAATGAAAAGTTAAAAATTTTTAAACTGTTGTATCTAATGAATGTATTCAGCAAATTTGCAGACAAAAACAATGTTTCTATACACTAACAATGAACAGTCTGAAAAGGAAATTAAGAAAACAATTCCGTTCATAATAGCATCAAAAGAATAAAGTACTTTGGAATCAGTTTAACCAAGGAGGCAAAAGACGTGTGTGCTAAAAGTACAAAGCATTGCTGAAAGAAATTAAGGATCTAAATAGATGGAAAGACAAGGTCAGGAGTTCAAGACCAGCTTGGCTATCATGGTGAAACCCCGTGTCTACTAAAAATACAAATATTAGCTGGGCGAGGTGGTACGCACCTGTAATCCCAGCTACTCAGGAGGCTGAGGAAAGAGGATCACTTGAATCCGGGAGGCAGAGGTTGCAGTGAGACGAGATCACACCACTGCACTCCAG